AATAATAATAATAATGATAATAATAATGATGATATTGATGATAATGATAATAATGATAATAATGATAATGATAATAATGATAATGATGATAATGATGATGATGATGATGATGATGATGATGATGATGATGATAATAATAATAACAATAACAATAACAATAACAATAACAATAACAATAACAACAACACAACAATAGTAATAGTAATAGTAGTAGTAAGTAGTAGTAGTAGTAGTAGTAGTAGTAGTAGTAGTAGTAGTAGTAGTAGTAGTAGTAGTAGTAGTAGTAGTAGTAGTAGTAGTAGTAGTAGTAGTAGTAGTAGTAATAGTAATAGTAATAGTAATAGTAATAGTAATAGTAATAGTAATAGTAATAGTAATAGTAATAGTAATAGTATAGTAATAATAATAATAATAATAATAATAATAATAAATAATAATAGTAATAGTAATAGTAATAGAATAGTAATAGTAATAGTAATAGTATATAGTAATAGTATAGTAATAGTAATAGTAATAGTAATAAGATAATAATAATAATAATAATAATAATAATAATAATAATAATAATAATAATAATAATAATAATAATAATAATAATAATAATAATAATAATAATAATAATAATAATAATAATAACAACAACAACAATGATGATGACAATGATGATGACAATGATAGCAATAATACTAACAACAACAACAACAAAAACAACAATGATAATAATAAGGTAAATTTACAGCAAATAACAATCAAGGTTACAGGAAAATTGTGTATAGAATGATTACCTTGACATAACCTAAGGCACTCTCATCTATGGCATAAGGTGAACAAATCAAAAATAAAGGAGATACATGACTAAGAAGACATAAGATCGTCCCATCTTTTTTTAAGTTCTTTGCCATGTTTACATCACAAACGTTTACAATCTTATAGCTACTTAACTCATTCCTGCTCTTATTCAACTAGTTCATGTATTACTGAGCGCTTGTGAAGACAATTATTTTGTATTTTATGCATTCCTTTATTTTTAGTATAAAAAAAAAAAAAAAAAAAAATCATGTTTATTTTATAGTGTTACCCTATTCTTTACAAAAACCTATAGTGCCTTTGTGTTTTCCACCGGGACTTTCAAGACTTCACAATACCCATTCCTTGACAGAACACTGGTGAAGAATGTTTCGTTTTCTGTGTTGTGTCGATTGTGTAAAACAATATAGTGGCTATGCAGAAGAAACAGACCTTAGTAACTACCACAGCCTGATATGTGAGCCCATAAAGTGGCCTAAAATTGTCGGAAAAAGTGATATGAAACCAAGCCATCCAGAAAATTGACAGAAGCAAAGGAGAGTTTGGCGTCTCGAGACATAAAGGTGTTTGGTTTATTCTTTAAGGTATGTATGGAGCTTGCAGTACATAATGAGATGAAGAGAAGGTTTCCCAGAAGGTGTTAGGGGCAGAGCCCCATCAACTCTCCCTTCCAGCAGCGCCCAAAGGGCATGCCTAGTCAGGGCAACTTCGCTTGCTGAATAAAGTTCATGACATAGAATCAGGTTGCTTTATTGGTCAGGACATATTAGGTGGTTTGAATTCCAGTAGATCTTACCAAAAGATGGGTTGGGTTCCCGGAGTTTTTTATCTTTTAAGTTGACGTGTCAGTCTGTAGACTTACAAAGATGGTGGGCATGTCTGTAGAGTTTCATTAGCCGATTTTAAGTACTTTTTGTTCTCTATTTTTCATACTTCAGCCTGTTTTACCCCATAATTTCCCTGATATATTTCATGGTCTCCCCTGCTATCGGGACCTAACACATCAAGATTGTGATTGCTACGGAAATGATCATCAGATTTACTTGTCACACAAAAACAAGTCTGATGATATATATATTGTCTGGGAAGTCCCGACTGTCAAAAACAGTAAAACGATTATTATTATTAATAATAATAATAATAATAATAATAATAATAATAATAATAATAATAATAATAATAATATTAATAATAAAAAACAATAACGGTAACAATAACAATAATAACAATAATAACAATAATAACAATAATAACAATAATACTTATATCAATGATAATACTGATACTGTTACTGTTAATGATAATAATAATAATAATAATAATCTTATTAATCATCATTACTGCTGCACACTGTAATTCCCATTTAGACATGAAAAAGTTAAATACAGCCAAATCTCTTGATCCTCCAATTACTTTATTGCCTAATTCTGCAATTTTGTGTAACTAAACATACATCAAAATACACATAGCTGTATGTTTTAAATCAACAATAATAATCCCACAAAGTTCATTTCCTATGAAGTAGCTTACTGTAATTGTTCTCTTAGAATACAATGTAGGTAATGATGATATAATCATATAATAACATTATAAATATTTCAATCTTCTCACAATCATTGATCTCCAGTAATGTTGTATAAGCATCCATCTTGTAACCCATCTTACTGTAGTAACCCGCAAATAACAATCAATAACTAAATAGGTTTCTAGATATTCCCTATTATGATGGCCATTCTCACGATATGAAATTCTTGAGAGAAAATAACATAGAAATGTCACCCTGAGGACAAGTCTGAAAAATCAATACAGGAGATCCCATCCCCTCTTGATAGAACCCTTGAGCATCAAGGAGAAGAGGCTATGCATTATGTACTTTATACACATTTAAATATAATAAAACTTAAATTTCTTATTCTATAAACAAAACCTGATATGTTGTAGGTTTACAATTATGGGAATACAATATAAAAGTGATATCAAGTTTAAAACATGCAACATAAACAAGAGCAATAACTGATAACAAAAATATATGACAATACAAGTCATTAACAAGATGAAGCAAAATCTCAAAATAAATGTAAAACAATTTAATCCGAGCCTTGATAAACATGCCTATCACACAGTATGATATCCATTATTCTATACAAAGCACGCACACATACACACACACGCACGCATGCACACACACACATATAAAATATAAAATGTATTTCTTTAAAAATCTAGATAATCATAATGCCACAGGATCATACAAAAGATAACAATGATAAAAGATAAAAAATAGGTCTTTATATTACTTTACCTATATTAACAGAAATTAATTTTGGCAGAACTGTTGTAGCATAGCAGATTGCACAGGTTTTCTGCTCTATATGCATTCATAAAAATACCAGAAAGGGTGAACATGAAATAAGTTACTGAACAAAGCATCCATATTAATAAAAAGACATTAATATACATAATAACAGTACACATTACTGAAATGTCAAAGTCCTTTTCAATGAGATCTCTCGTGTACTGGAGTTTCCTACCAAATTTTCCAAATGCAGCTTAAATTTGAACAAACTGTATTTAAATAAAATGAAGGAGCACTACTTTTTCTTTACTTGCCTGGGTCTTCCAAAATACACTCTTTTGACCAAGCACTCAGAACAAACTCATCCGCAAATCTATTTGAAAGAAAAATGTCTCTTGAAACCTATATTTACCAGATCTAACGACTGGGCCACAATAATGCTATTTAAGGAATAAAGCAAAAACAATGAAAACTTAATAATCTAGGTCTTAAACAATGACTTTTACTTCCTGCTGATAAAAGTAGATAAAATAAGTAATAATGAGGTATGATTGTGATTTTTACTACCATTCTCAAAATAATAATAATAATAATAATAATAATAATAATAATAATAATAATAATAATAATAATAATAATAATAATAATAATAATAATAATAATAATAATAATAATAATAATAATAATAATAATAATAATTAATAATTAATAATTAATAATAATAATAATAAATAATATAATGATAATAATAATTATCAATAATAATAATAATAATCAATAATAATAATAATAATGACAATAACACCAATAACAGTAATAATAATTACAATAATAATCATATTTCCTGTTTAAAAATGATGAAAAATGAGTTTGGGCACAGTGATGTGTACCTCAGTATTCCAAATCAAATTGTTATTTTTTTTAAATGTTACCCAAGTTCTTTACAATTATAAACAAAAGAGCAAACTTTTCAATTACAGACATCTTTAAAGGAACATATCTCTAATATTCTTAGATTGCTTTGCTGTCTGACAAATGCTCAATAATTTTGAGAGCGAAATAATGCAGTATACTACAGTCTTCTCCATGATTAACTAATTTTTTTCTGTTCATTGAGGGAATGGATACATTGAAACAACATGGAATGAAAGCAATAATAATATTAATGGAAAGGACTGTGGTATTGGCATTAATCATACCATTTTCATATCAAATCCCATGCTAAACATCTGTAGCAATCACTTGTCTAAATGCTATGGTAACTGTTTTAGTTGGAAAATCATTTCTGATTAGCTTTTCATAACTAAAGTAATCATTACACTCAATTTTCTCTTAAGATATTTCAATAGAACAATGCAAGTATATTGCAATGGCAAAATCCCCTTACATTTGCACTAAAGCAGTACATGTGGTATGTAAAATGTGTCAAAACCTCTTACAAATTCAAAACAATGATCAATAAATGGACAACAATATCTCATGTGGCTGCTTACATACAATAGACACACTAAACAGGCAACAAGCTTTCACTTTGTCAATTCAAATTTTACCATTAGCTAAGAACAGATAATTCATTAAACTTTCTAATAATATACTTGCTATTCCATCGTGACATTCCCTCACTGGAAAAATGGGAATGAGAGCTAGATTCAACCCTATATTTTCAACTTACTTGTAGGCCTGCCAGGCGAGGATCTTTCAAAATTGACAAACAGGGTGAAAATAATCAGACAAATCGCTGTGTTAAATAAACAAATCGTTGAAACAAATAAACAGGTGAAATTAACTGGGGCCTTTTACCGACCACGATGTTAAAAGCTACGACTCGTAACGACGCTCTAAGCCTATAACTCCTGAGCAAATACAACCAACGCCATGGTGAGGCTCGAGGAAATAC